ACACTGAAGCAAACAAATAAAAACTTTTTTTTATGCAACCAACAGATCATTACCCTGGTCATGATTCCTGGTAGAGTTACTAAAAATAGATAGCTACTGTTTCTCCTTCCTCAAGTCACACTTTTGACTGTGGATGTAAACACATTAAATATTATTTATTAACTCAATAATATACATGTTAATGTTCCATTTGCACACACCCACTCATAGCCCTAATTACAGAAGACAACCATAACAATTAAAGTGGTGGCAAATTTGAGCCTTGGACCAGCCTTGTGCTGGTCCAAGGCACAAAAGTGACTGTGTATCGTCTTAAAGGTATATAGGAGAATTTTCCCAAATTTTAGGAAAGAACAGCTCTCTCCACTTTTTGAACAAAACTCTCTGGTCTTGTTTGACGAGCATGACCAGAATGATTGACAATTGGGAGGACCAATAGTCTTGATGATGCACCCGGAAGTAGAAAATCCTCTATATAACTTTAAGATGACAATATGTTGTCGACATATCTGTGATTTTCTGATAAACATAGATTTTCATCTGTTCTATTGTTCTCACATTGTTTCCTCTTTCTCAGTATCATTGGTCTGAGTTGTTTTACTTTCTGGCCCCTCACTGAAATACATTCAATTTGCATTTGTAAACAATTTCTAAAATGTATCAGAACTTTCCCACATGGGTGTGCCTGTTGAGCGTCGCACTCCCTGGAAAAGCTCTACGGAATTGCATCATGGAAGAGTGTGGAAGGCAATGCATTCTGTAACATGGGGAAATACCTCTCTGGTTCCTTCTTCAGCACCTTCCAGACTGACAGACAGCGTGCTAAAAGGCTCTTTATGGGTGAAGTTGTTCAAGTCCCTACAATAAACTTAATAAAGTGCATGAGTACTTGTGTGTCTAGTAAGAGTGAAGTAGTTCATGAAGTGAACTTGTTTGAAGACATGCTGCTGTCTGCTATTTGGGACTAATAGTATGCATTGACCCTCTTACATGAGACGAGCAGGTCTTCATAGAAAACCCTTATTTCATACGGTTAGTGCTGAAGCATTATGAACCACGCACCAAGAGTCAGCAACGATCTGCATATTCAATAACTTCCGTAATTATATGCACAATTCATCAGATGGGATGTGATTGCAGGGGAAGTGCAATAGAGTGGTTTAGAGAGGAGCAAAGAGGCCTGATTCCTGGAGGACTAAAGTCTAATCACAAAACTAACATGATAATTGAAATTTAGATTGAAAGGATTCGCTCTTAGGAAGTGTATGTCAGACATGGAGTGTACAGACACTGGAGAGCATCCGGGAGAAAAGAAATTGTGGCGACATGGAGGTGTCAAGCTCACATTCAGAATTGGTTTACGTGCATTTTCTTCGCAACCATATCAAAATTCATAGCTGGTAATCAAAGGCATTGTGTGAGGGCAATGCACTTAAATACAGCTGTCCTCTATTTCACCTCACATTCAAATTCATATCTGTAAATGTAAGCCAAAGAAAGAGAAGGATGGTCCAGGAAAGTCTTCAGTGCCATACTCCTTTCCTTCTCTCTTCTGAGCTGTCTCCTCTGACCACAGGATTCATATTCATCCCTCAATAACATTTAATTAGTAATGCCAAATTCATTAACCTGTACTGCTGTTACGCTGGCCTCAACCATAAATTAGCTTAATGTGCGCCGACGTATCACAGCTGTAATAAGGGACATAAAACTCAAAGAGAAACACCCTACTGTTCTTCCCAGATTATTATAACTCAGCAGTATTATACACCGGGAGCACCATCCCAGGAGCTATTCAATACATTTTGTACTAAAACCAGTTTCCTTGTCAAACAAACTGCTATTGTAAAAAGCTGGGATGACCTTCACTGTCCTAGGATTACACAGGACCTTTCAGCTTTTCTATCCCCCAGTGATCTCGCCTAACATTGCAGCAAAGAGCCTATTAGGCCTGGATCCCACTTTGTTGTTAAAAAGGGTCTTGTCCTTTCACAACACTCGCTTCCTTGCTTTGGGTTTTTTCAAGCATAGGTGGAGGAGAAACACAAGTTCATTGTTCCCTCTCAGATGGAAGTTGGAGTTACCAGGGTAACAGCTCTAATCCATTTTTTTGGTCCACTTTTTACATTAACAGCTTATCGAGTGCTATACCTCACGTGACTGAAAAAGCAACCTCACATTTACTTAGCAATGTTTATTTTCCAATAGACAACATGATGAGCCGATCGAAATAAAGCCATACTAAAAACAAGCCCTTCTTTCTCCAGAGGCCTTCTCTAAGAATAACAATAATGAGGCCATTATGGAGATCTACACTTTAAAATGCTGCCCTGCCACCAAAACACCGGACATAATTGTTCTGGTGTTTTCCATATAATCAGCTGGCCATTGTTGATGACTTGAGAACTCAGGGAGCAAAGAATGGGAGCCATAATGATTAGTTTGTGCTGTCGTAACATCAACTGAAGAGTTTCCACTGAAGACGAACCTTCATAGACTACTGATTCGCTTGGGCATGAAGACAACTGTGTGCCTTTGTAAAAAACTGTCCCATTGCTTTTTGTCCATCTTGACACACAAATAGCCCCCAGGCTGCAATTAAGCAGCAGCATTCATATGGTGAAAGACTGGGAGTCACACAGGCTCATGTGAGGGGGCCATTGCGTCAGAAGGAAGAATACCCTTTTATCCGAGCCCCCCGCAATTCAGACATATCCAACCTCCCAATCATAAAATCAGATGTTACAGAGACAGTTGCATAACTGCGATATATTGATACAGAAAACAACATAATATTTAGTGCTACAATATAACTGCTTAACCCCATTTTTGTAATGATAAAAAGAATTTAAACTATACAATAGAAGAGAATATTTTTAAACTATCAGAACTATTTTTATTGCCATTGTAAGTAACAGGAAGTCAAAAGATAGGAATTTGCTTTAGCTCTCAGTGCAAACAAGTTATAAAAGTAAAAATAGATGCTTAAAAAAAACGTCATAATACTTCTCAAAATGACTACTATATACAAGTGCACTAAGTACACACAATAGTTCCAAGCCGAGAAAAAATAGATTGTACCAATGAGCATGTTGCAAGATGGGAGCATGTGGGGCTGTACAAACTCAGTACAGCACCTATTAGCAGAGCTCCATTGTGAGGAGTGAGAGAGACAGAGCTGGAGGGCAAGAGGAATGCTAAGTGGGCCCCTTAGCCTAGTCAACCTTCAGTGGGTTTCATTTATCTTCATCTTGTTAGACTAAATTAATTAACAATCTCAATGCTACACACTTTCTCCTTTCATTACATCAAATAATGGCAGAAATGTAGGGGGTGGGTCCTGTCCACTGGGAGCTAACGCACACTCAAGACATCTCTCTGTTTATCACCCCCCGTCCCCCCACCCCCTCCCAATCTGAAACACCGATTCCGACATCGCCATTTGTTTAACATCCTAAAACTAAAGATCGTAAATTGTAACGAAAATAAAAACCTGTCACTTTGAGGAGACTTGAAATCCATTTGAGGATAGTGTCAGGTGTTTACCGCGTGTCATTAACATAATATGGACAGAAGAAGTTCACTGGTCCATGAAGCCCATTGAGAGAAGATTCTGGGATACTTTGCCACTCTCATCCATTCTGGTCCATGTCTTGTCATCCACGCTGCAACCACTGGACACAGCGCTCTTCTAAGCAAAATGACTAACCCTGAGCGAGCCTGCCTTTAATCTTACCCTGATTGTTGTGGGCTCCAATCTTTAGCCAGTGTGCGTGATATGTCTCTACAGTCGCTTCTTCTTTAATTAAAACCCACACTGACAGAAGGATGTGGATTAGGGACAATGTAATGTGTTTACTCACAATAATCATTCTTTTCTCTCTGTTCCTGAACAAAAAGAAGAGTTTAAAGCAATCCCAGTGGTTTTCTCTTTCTCATCTGTATATATATATATATAATTACCTGAGTATGGCTTGTCTATAGATGAAATTCTATGATGATCATTTAAAAGGATTGTGTCACTAGACAACTTTCTAGACATAAAATATTTCTCGACTGCAATCCAATGCAAGTTCAATGTAAGAGGCCAACATTGAACTTGATCCGTTAGTTTATTTTCAATGGATTCATACAATAAAATAAATCTATTTGACAGCGATGGAATTTCAAGTTGAATTCCTGAAGGACGTTTTGACAAGCGAATGTAATCGTATCAAATTGTCCTTTCTTTTAAAGATGCCCCCAACAGTTATGCGGAAAAAAATGCTGTTAATTTAATCAAATAAGTGACCTTTTGAAACTGAAATCAAAGCGGATTCATTAGCTTTAGTAAAGTTTGGCTGACAGAAGCTTTGAAAGGCAGATGCTGCTGCTGTGGCTTCTAATGAGCCAGCCCTAATTAGGAAGCAACACTAGAGCCTAGAGAAGGTGGTTGACTAGGAAAGAAGCCAATGGTAAATACACTCGCTCCTATTTACTTCCTCTGTGCGTAATGACAGCACCCATTTTTAATTAGAATCACAGGAAGGGTAAAGACTAAAAATGTAAATCTTTATGGTAGGTTGAATACAAACACACAACACAACAAGAAACAACAGAACATCACAAGAAATGAGAGGCCAGTCCCAGTTGTACCCCTGATTAGGGTTGTGCTGGAGCCAGGCCAAACAAAAGCATGCAAAATAAGTCACAATGCTGGACTTCTATGCTTTAACGCTGTCTATTTTTGCCGTGCTAGTTTGTGTTGTTTGTTCGGTTTATGTGAGCATGCCAGTTGGTCAGACACTACTCGGCCATTACATATGGTTTAAGCAAATATTCTCTAATCCATGTTGACCGAGCTCAGAGATAAAGACATGTGCATACACAAACAAGTGTACGCCGACACAGGACAAAGTCTGAAAACAAAAGAAGAAACGTGTCTGACGCTCAAGGCCGAGTGACCCAAGATCGTCCATGCTCCAACGTTTTTGAATGGCAACAAGGTAAAGGAAACTAACCTCAGTAAAAAGCTGCTACGTAGATAGCCCTCCATGTCAGCGTGTGGGGGTTCTGGCAGGAAAAAATCACAGAGAACCATTTTCACTATGAAACGAGTCATAATCAAGAAAGAGAAAAGGGAAAGAAAAAAAGAAAGAGGAAAAACACACAGTACATATATCTTGCTCCTATAATAAGGCATGTCTTTAATTAAGGCAAGAGTATGGCTACAAACCCATCCTCTCTTTTACGAACTGACATCATTAATTATACCTCTTTCCAAGGAGGGAATGGATTTGCATACAACATTGGTTTTGCACAGAAAGCCTGATGATATGTTTGCATCAAATAAACCTTGGCTACTGATGTCTACTCGGGCCTGTTCCATGGCTGTGTGCAGATGTATACATGTATTGGGTTCAGAGTAGCCAGCGGTGGTCCAGCTGCAGCGCACGTGTGGTTGCGGAGCTCGAGTGAAGCAGGAGGATGTGGTCATGATGTCAGCACTCGCAGGGGTCGCTCAGAAGCCGAGCCCACAAAGCCATGGACATACCGGGATAATAATCACTTACTGCACAATGCTTTTCAGCTTTATTTGGCTATTGGGTTCTGTTATGGTATTGGTGAGAACATGTGTGTTCCCCCTAAAAAGGAAAATTGATAATTATGACAATTTAAAGTTTATAAAATTGAATATGTATAATTTCATCTGTAAAGTGACAACCAGTATTAATTTAGTCAAGTAGAAGAAAATAATATTAGGGAATAAAATAAAGAAGTATAAATGTGTTCCACTGTCCACGTATGTTTAAAGTTGTATTTATTCCTATTAGCCTGCCAGCCTAGAACACCTAAAGTTTGAGCAGCATGAGTGTAATTTGGCATTTCTCGTCTTGCTCTCTTGGCTCCTAAGACAAAGCCTCTGAGAGAATGGAAAGAATGAGTGAAGCCAAGGACACTGTGCCTTTGAGTTGGTCGTGCACTTAGCGCTGCAGAGGATCCACAGGCCCAGAGGGCTCAGCCAGACTTTTCTCACAATAAGGTGTCTGGGGAGGCAGGAGTGGCATAGCCAGGGGCACTGCTCTGCGCCTCTCTCCACTCAGCTGGGCCTGTGCACATAATACCATCACAATCCAGGACACACCAGGCCAGTGACAACGTGAGAAAACAACCGTCAAACAGAGCAGAGCACATCAAGCGTGTCTCTTCACTTCTGTGAGTGCAAAAAGCACAAACCCTCCAGTGAGCATTCAAAACAGGTGTGAATGCACAAATACTGTGTAGGAAAAATAGTATAAAAGAAAACAATACTGAAGAGAGTAATAATGTTAGTGGTTAAAAAGCGTGGGTATGACCTCATAGGGCTTTCAAAGCCAATTGTTTATGGGATACGGCAGCACTCAGCTCTATCTTTATCTTTGGTTGGACTCCAAACCCTTGTTCCCTCTCCTTTGCTCTGCTTGTGTTTCCTCAGCTGTGCCTGCTGTCTACAATCCCATTGTGGTCAGAAAAACTCAACTTAGTCCATCGAAGCAAAGGTGCGGTTTGGAAAGCTGGTAGCAACATTTTGGAAAAAGTGACTAAGCTATATCCTTTGTGCGCAGAGACAAAAATCCTCATCAGGATTAAATGATATTCAAGGACAGTGATTTGCTGAAGCAAAGGCAGCGGATAGACATCAGTTTGGCCTGATCCGGAGCGAGCAGCACAGCAGCCCTTTCGAAGAATGAGTTCCTGCCAAAATGTGCCTCTGCCTAACCAAGTCTCCTACCATCTGCAACAAATGTGCTCTATTAAAGCAGTACCATATGGACAACAAGCTTGCTATTAACACGACTTCAGCAGATCCCCTTAACCTAGCACACATTTCTAGCTTACTGTCAAATTGACTGCTGATTTAATGCATCGCCAGCAGAGATGTGGGTCTTGGCACAGGATGGACCTCTCGGCCTTCAGTCATGTACATGCTCCGAGGGAACACATTGCACAGACACACACGGCCGAACTAATATATTAATCATAAATAAGATAAGACAGATGTAGTTGGTTCACAAAGAGCCCACGGAGAACACTATCCAAAGTAAAGATGCCAAATATTTCTTTAGCCAGAATGGAAACACGTCTATAAAACTGCACTGCCTGCGTCAGCCTCAGTTCTTCCAGGGTGGTGGAGAGTTGGTTTTCTCCTCTGTGTGGATCCAAAATGGCAGTGATTTACCCTGCAGGGTGTGATGGGGGACACTTTAATCCCAGCCGTGTTCATGCCTCTCCCGTCTCTGAGTCATGTGGGACCCACCCTCCGCTCACTGAGCAGTGTTCTCCTTCCCTCAACCATGACACCACAAATATGTGCTTCACATACGGACAACAAACACACACAAACAACTACATTAATTTCCGTCTGTAACTTCTTTCTTCTTATCTTATTTATTGGATTATAGGTACATTGTTATGGTCATCATGAATATTTTTACTTGTGATTTAATTCCCATAAGTTCATAAACTATGACTCCAGTGCAGCTCTGACACGTGCAGAGTGTGTAAAATGGATGTTTGGTGCTCTGACCGTTTGACAGGTGAAGTGTGGGTGAAGCCCCTGTTATCCCCAAGCTCGACGATACAGCCCCTCTGATCCCGTCTCATGCAGAAAGCACAAAACTCCGTGGATGCACACATGTCAAGGATGCCGCCAAAGAAGTGAATTAATTTGTGTGAGCCACTCCAACATTAGGAAGGTGTGTTGAAAGGTGTCTGCTCATGTTTCAAATTAAACGCGCTGCTGGTCAGCATTAGCACCTCGCCACCCGTCAGCAACTGACACTTAGGGGGCTGGGGGAGGGGAGACCATCCTCCGTTCACACTGGAATAATTAGAACATGTCAGGAAGAATTAATTTCCTCATTTTTCAAAAGGATACACAGAAATTACCATGTTATTATATGACAGGGTCCCTGGGAGGATTGGATTAAATTTGATTTCTTGCGCAGCCCACACAACAAATTAAAGTCATAAATAAGATGGAAGGAAGCGAGGCACAGAGCATATGTTTATGGCAATGAGTGAAGCCAAGGGACCAGAAACAACTATCTTCATTTCATTTGATTTAAATCGGACCGACGCCGTGTGTCTGAATGACAGCAGTTGCTAATGGGTCAAGATTAACACAGAGACCACCAACTAGTGAAAAGCCAGACAAACATTTAGTTTGCGTTTGGCATTTCCAACCAATAAGGTGGAAACATACATGTGACACTCTACTTATTTGATGTAATTATTGCGTTAAATACAGTTTTTAATAACATGTAAAACAACCTGGTCATAAAATACAGAGAAGCACTTTATCTTGCCTTGGCTCCAATTTAGACATGTTACCTTACTGTAATAGTTTAATAAGGGCTTGCTGCTAAGAGTTTTAAACCCTTTCAAAAAGGGCTGTCATTAGAGCTAGCACTCCCCTGGGCACTACAAACTTTAAATAATTTGTGAATCAATTAACTGGCTACTCTCAAGCAACAGGGATTTCACACTCCAGGGTCGTGGCGCATTATCAGTGTGAGACGATTCATGGCGTTTTGGGAGAAAAGTTCATGGTTGAAATCATTAATTCATTTTGCTGGACTTTAGTTATGCATTACTTTCTGCAGCTGGGGTAGCAAGGAAATTAATGACATTTTCTTTAGTCCTGTTTTCAGTCTTATAAAGCCATTAGGTGAAACTCCACCTTGTACCGCAGTGTGACAACATGTTACCACCATTTATCATAAAAACTGATGGTCCGTGTTTTGTAATAATTAATATACATTACTTTTAGTCACAATTATTCTTAGCAAGTCTGTATTTGATCAGCAGCAGAAGGAGCCCCAGTGCCCCGTGAAGCTGCGTGCTGTTGGCAGGTGTGTATTCATGAGAGCAGAAGAGCGTTTGATGTGAAATGTCACAATTACACAATGGTAAATGGCCATGAACTTTGGATTCACACACACACACAAACCTCATCTGTTTTAACCACAGTTGTATCTGAAAATATTTTCACTGACATTTAGGAGAAAAATAAAATCATCTAAGAAGTTTCTCTTTTTATTTGCTTTCTGAATATTTTAAAGGTCTGTGTTTTCATTTCCTAATATGAAGACAAAATTAGTTTAGGTTACACAGCATCTTCTTTGTTATCAAAATATGTTTTATATATATATATATATATATATATAGTGTATACTTAGTGTGTATGTTTATATATATATACACCAACATATTATCAGCAAAAATGTAATTCCAAAGTGGTGTGCTAAAAAGGTCTGCATGTAACTGGTCTAATTGTGCATACAATGTGAGTCTAAGCATTTGTCCACTTGATTTGATGCAGGTGTTCAGAGTGGGAGAGGACAGCGGGGGGCACGACACATGTGGCAAGACAGAAACAGCTGAAGGGGCAAATTGATACTTACAAAAACTGAAAGACTCAATCCCCGGCTTCCAGCGATCACTGGTCGGCTGATTGTGAATTCATGTAAGTGACCTGAGGGCAGACACAAAAACAGATTCTGAAACAACAAGTAAGCCATTTTATGAAAACTAAAAATATATTGTTCTTGTTGTTAAAAGACAGTTGTCATCAGAAAGAAAGTTAGAGATAATAGTGGAGTGACATTGACTGATGACCAGGGCTTAGTTTGAGCCAAAGTCCACACAGCTGTCTCCAGAAGAAATGTTTCAAACCGCACCGCACTTTTCTTCAGGCATCAATGAAAAATATTATCGGCTTTCCATAGTGTTGGCATGTTACTTATGACATGCCCCACAGTGGGGACTTAGCACTAGTGATGTGGAAAATGACAATGTAATAAATGTGTGCACATTCAGACACATCTCCGGTACACGGTGGCTTCATCGCTGCTCGTTTTCTCACATTATCTTGTTTTCAACAATAAGCTTGGATCTCATTACAAGCTGATTTATGCAATTAGTCCACCACGGCACTGCCAATTAAACAAGGCCAAGGGTTTTTAAGGTCACGCTTAACTGATCTGAAACTAATTTGGAGAACAGTTACTTCGT